GCTTGCAGGGATTTGGCTCTAGTCATTGTGCCTTTTAATTTCTGTTTAACTAACCTCCTCATTTTAGTGTAATTCCCCTTTTTGAAATTAAATGCCAGAGTGCTGGACTGCTGAGGTGTTCTTCCCACCACAGGAATGTTAAATGTTATTATATTATGGTCACTATTCCCAAGCGGTCCTGAAACGGTTATTTCCTAGACCTGATCATGCGCTCCACTCAGGACTAAATTGAGAATTGCCTCTCCCCTTGTGGGTTTCTGTACCATCTGCTCCAAGAAGCAGTCATTTAAGCCGTTGAGAAATTTTATCTCCGCTTCTCTTCCTGAGGTGACATATATCCAGTCAATATGGGCATAATTAAAATCCCCCATTATTATAGAGTTCTTTATTTTGGTAGCCTCTCTAATCTCCCTCAGCATTTCAATGTCAGTATCGCTATCCTGGTCAGGTGGTCGGTAATATATCCCTATGCTAATTTCTTATTATTGGAGCATGGAATTACTATCCATAACAATTCTGTTGAACATATTGATTCATTTAATATTTTTATTTCATTTGAGTCTACATTATCTTTCACATACAGTGCCACTCCACATTATGAATTTGAACTAATAGCAGCATTCTAACCAAGGGACTGAGGATCTTCTGATCATTTAGAAGCAACCAGAGACTTAACCAGCCAGCAGTTTACTCCTTCGCAGCTACAACTCTGATCCAAGAACCTTATGATTACTGTATGCATTTTATTCCTTTAACCAATTTTAATTCACCTTTTATATTTTATAAACAAACCCTTAGATATTAGATACTAAAGGACTGGCATCAGCATGATTACTGAGTAAGATCTGAGTTATATATTGATGTGGTCATCTGGGATCAGAAGCACCCCTTTATTGAATGAAATTGGTTTTAAACAACCATTAAGTAAATAATCATAAAATCTAATGACTGGGTGTTGAATCCAGGACTGTAGCACTGAAGGAGACTGCATTTCTGACCCCTTTTTGTTAGCAAGTTTACTATTGTTGCTAGGTTGGTATCCCTCATGAATGAATAACCAAAGGGTCTATCTGCCCTTTTCCCCCAGTAGCTTGTCCTGAATTTGGTATTCTCAGTTGTGACCCACAGTGACAGTGATTATCCAGGTCTATGTCATTCGAAGACTAGCTATGACCCACCAAGGTGTGACTTCATAATTTCACCACAAACCCATATTTGATGGGCATCTACCTTGAAAAAGCCAATCTGATGTCTGGTATTGAAGGAATTGACCAACAGGTGTTGAAGTTTCTTGAGGACCCAGAACCCTTTAGTGGGAACTGGTACTACTGTGCAAGCTCTGTCAAATATCTGAAGATTTCAGGCATCCCCATAGAACTCGAGCTCCCAAGGTATTACATTTCAACATTTTCCCCACATTTTGTTTGTGGTGAAATCACGTAATGAAAGACACTATTGTACTGTATATGAGAAGGGAGACAATTAAGCATGCTATGGGAATCTGCACTAAAATATGTTGAGTTTTGGCCAAGACCATAGCATGAGAAATTTCATCACAAACAAGAGTTTGGTCCTTAAAATCAGAGGTTTACCAGGAATACCTCCCACAACTGTAAGTAGGAAGTCATTTTTGCAATTCCACAATACCATCTTGATAGAAAAATTGTTGATAAATTAAAAGTACTTTCATTATTGATGTAACAGGTCTGAACACACTGTTAAAGCTTTACAATAGAGGGTCTCTTCTACAAGAAAAGTTCAATAACATGTTCTTTTAAATAGTAATTTATACTATATTTCTCCCCTTTGCCACCTCCTGCCAAGTACATTTTTCTCATAATCCCCTTCTTCCAAGGTTATTAGCAAGATACTCAAGTGTGCGTTGGTTATTTTGTACCACATTGCCAGCATAATTTGGCTGTAAATCTTGTCTAACCAGTCCAGAGAGGATTACCCAAAGATGATCTTACAATAAAACACAGCTGAGGTAGGGAACTGCATCAGTGCAATGCGATGAAGATGGCATGCAGCAGAGGAAGGCAATGCAAAAGGGAGTTTTATACCTCTGTTGTGTACTGCCACTTCCCCCAGCTTCAGCTTCTGTCTCTTTTGGTCATTCCTGAAGATCTGCCTTTGTACATGAAGAATGTCTGGTTTTCTAGCATCTCTGCTTGGAGACTTGGGGTGAATGCTTACCATGCAATTACGCATGCTTTCCTTTGCCAATATTCTTCCATGATCCCTTTCTTTTTTTTTTTTTTTTTTTTTTTAAGTCTGATACTAAAATGTCTCCAAGGACTTTTTTTTTCCCACAAAATAGTACAGCAGTGTGTATTTTAAGGTCTATTCTTGTGTTCTAGACCTATTGTTATGCTATAGAAAATAGAAACTCAATGTTATGAAATACTGGCTTAATATACATGTTCTCATAACATCATCATCTCAGTAATTAGGTGCCTTCCAGCAGCGCATTAAAACAATGTGACTAATACCTATCACTTCTAGTTTCTCTCTCTCTCTCTTCTCCTCCCCCTTCCCCCCCCCCAAGAGAATTGTGCATGCAGAATAGTTGTTTTGATATGGTTTGGATTGGTAATGTTGCTCTGTTTATAATAAAGACAACAAGACTGAGTGGAAGATGGTAAGATTTACAGTGGTTCTTAGATCGTATGGGATTTCAGATACAAAAAGCATTTTTCTCAATATTGACAAGACCACATGTGTGTGCCGGGTAACTTCCTCTCTCAACCCCTCAAATAACTATAATATACTTTGAATTTCTTTTACTTCTGCTTTCAAATAAACATGCTTGAAAAGGAATTCTTCTGAATAGCCTTGAGGCATGCTACTGAGAATGGGGACCAGTTCTGGACAAACTTCTGTTAGTTGTCAGAATACATTCAAAGCCCCACCATGCCTTAAGAATGCTTAGTTTATGCTGAAATTGTTGGTAGTACATAGCATCCTTTCCAAGAATTCTATTTTAGAGCTGTTTTTTAAACTCCAAGTTGGCAGATTCTGGCCCACATATCTGTTAACAGCGGAGAATCCAGAGGAACATATAAGTAGCTACCATGAAACTAGACAGCCTTCTAATATGTTTAGTAAATGTTTTCAGTTTCTATTTCCAGACAAGCAAAACAGTAATACAAAGTAGAGCACTATTAATTGCTAATCCTGGATCTTATTCAGTCAAAACTACTAAACTCTATAGGAATGAACTCTTGGTCCCATTCAAGTCAACACGAAGACTCCCATTTTCTTCAATAGGGTAGAATTTCTCTTCAGAAGCTTTTCCTGAGAAAGACTGGCCCTTAATTAGTACCCCAAATATTTTCTTAATAGCTATAGGTTTAGAAAACTGACACACAGTACATGCCCAGCAGACCCAACTACATAATTCAAATGTGTGAGTCATTCAAGATTTTAAAACATATAAAAATGGAAAGATATTTATGTACCTTATGTATAGTAGTTTAAACAAAGAAATTTTAAAATCTAACAGTGTTTTTGTTTTAGTGTTAAAAAGGGTCCACAACTTGGCAAAATTAGTTCTGAGACAATTTTTAATTGTAGGATTATATACTGTATGGTTTTCCTCTTCAGTAACTTGAAAAATAGCCAGGCTGCATTTTGTTCTTTGCTTTATTTAAACATGTAAAGTTTTGGTCCAAACTAGGGATGTAACAGTGTAGTCAACCAGTTATCCGATAAGCAAAAGCTTATAAGTTAATGCTATAGACTACATGCATTCCCCCCACCCCACCCCCAAAAAAGGGCTGCTGTCATCCTGCACTGCTGCCTCTGTATGGGAAGCTGCAGCAGCACAGGGCAACAGACAGCTGGTCCCCAAGGGAAGCTGGTTTTTAAACTGGCTCCCCTCACGGACCAGCTCTTGCCTCGCACCCTGCACAGAGTGGCAGGGGGTTCCTCGGAAGAGGGGCCGGAGTGCACTGGCTACCAGCCCTGCCCCAGGAGACTATAAAATAGTTGAGTAATGGATAAGAATTAATGAGGTTACTCAACTATTCAATTAACTAATACTTAACATCCCTAGTCCAGACTGACAAACTTAAATGTTATCTTAGAATTAAGGCTCTGACATTAAGAGACAGCAGAAAAGTAATCAGATTTCCAGTAACAGTCCCACCATCATAAAAAAAGAGAGTAAATACCTAAAGCAATTTCCCAAATTTGTCACAGTGCCCCAACACAATTCATCTGATTGTCCTCGGGTGAATGAATGTCTTGCTGGACACGAAGAAGTGTGTTTATGACTCCTGGGTAACTGTTTTTCCATCCAAGCTGTTAATATTTTGTAACTGAGCAAACCTTGTCACTTTTGCCCTACTGCAGACGAGACATTGGACTACTATCAAATTCGTTCTCTAGCTGTGAGGTAGCATACGCTGCGCTGGCAGAGGGACGGACTCAATCTAATGTCTTTTCCTAAAGCTTCCTACGTTGCTCCTGAGCAAGAAACCAGCAGCCCCTGGCAACCCTCCCCCAGTGAGCTTGAACTACGGATCCGGACTGACCGCCCCAAAAGGAGAGGAAAGCAGCATAAAAAAAAAAAACCAACCCCAAACTGGCCGCGATCCAAGCGCTGTCGAGCTACAGAATCCCAAAGTACGGGGAAACCGAGCTGGGAAGCTTGTTCTCACGTCAGCCATTTTAGAAGCCTGATCTGCAAAGGAGATTGCTAGCCCGCAGCTTCTGCTTCTCCCCTCGCTCCGCCACCCTACACTGGGACATGGGTCGTTAACAGGCACCTCATCTCTCTGCCCCCCGCGAGGCCTCTCGTCTCCCAGCAATAATCCGGGGCGGGCTGGCTTGCAAGGAGCCCAGGAGGCTGCCAAGTTCTGGGTTCAGTGACCCGCCTCCCCCGCTGCTAATCTGCCTCCTCGCGCGGGACAAAGCCACTCGGCCCCCTCCGGGTCTGGCCAACGTGGGTCTGGCTCCCTCGCCTCCCGCTGCGGCTTCCCCCGCCCAGCGCTCACCTTGGCGTCCGGGCCCAGGATGAGCACCTGGCTGTTCTCCTCGTCCTTCTTGCTTGCCTCCTTCTGCGCCAAGGCGGAGTTAAACGAGACTTTCACCATGGCGGCGGCCCCAGCTCCTGCAGGGACAACGCAACGGGGGCGAGCCTGGCCGAGGGTGGCGGGTTAAAGGGCTTCAGTGCCCGGGGCTTGGGACTCTTCAGCTCCCCTTGCAGTCCCGTCCGGCGGCGGAGGTGCTGGCACTGCCGGCGCCTCCCGAGGGGGCGGAGGAAGGAGCCGGAGGAGGCGGGGCGGACGGGACGCGGACTGGGGGGCAGGCTGGGCCCGGGCCAGGCAGGGATCTGGGAGCGGCGTCCTCACAGGCGGACAGGCTGCGCGGGGCGCTTCCCAGCAGGGACCCTTCCTCCGGCGCCGCAGGGCCACGCAGAGGCGGTCCCGCCTCAGGAGCGCCACCTGGACTCTCTGCCGCTTACTGGCGTGGCGGCTTGGGGCAGTCCCGCCAGTGCTGCCCCCCTCACTCGTCAGATCTTGTGTGTGAAGCCCGGAATCTGCCCACGGAGCTGCAGGGCCGCCCCTCGAGCCTGCACAGAGGGCTACGATGCAGATGTGTTTGCAGGATCCAGCCCTTGGCCTCTAGAGCAGAGACTGGCCCCCCGTTACTTAGTTACTGTGTACAGTGCCTAGCATAATAGTGCCCTGGATTGGTCAGTCTCTAGGCCCAGCAATAACTAATCTCAGTGCTTTTATATATATATATATATATATATAGCCTAAAGGTAAGTCTTCAGGCCATGTCTACACTGGCAGATGTAATGTTCTGGCAGGTACCACACTGCACTGACTGGCCTCCAAAACTGCAGTGGTGCAAATGATGGCATCACATACTAATTCTGGCACCACACCATTTAGCCTCTGAATACATTAACCACAACGGGTATTTCTCCATGCTTCTGCAGGCCCTTGTGGATCACCATGCGCTTTTCGGAGACATTAACGCAGGCTGGTCCTGAAAGGTGTATGATGTGCATCTTTCGGACCACTGGCCTGTTCAGGAAGCTGCAAACAGGAACTTCCTGGGCCAGAAGATCAATATGGGGGAAGTAGAAATGCCCATTGTGATCCTTGGAGACCCAGCCTATCCTTTAATGCTACTGTTAATGAAACCATAAACAAGGGAGCCTTGACAGCAGCAGTGCCTGGAAGCCGAGTTTGAACAGCCGGAGATCAGGAGTATGAGAGAAGCATAATGTAGAGACATAAGGATAAGGGCTGTCTTGAGGCAGCAATTTGATGATGAAAGTAAAACTTGTTGCCCTGCATGGGACTGCAGTGGTAGTATTGCTAGGAGGTTACCCTGATCCGTGCGCTGCACTTAAGTGTCCATAGCTTTGCTTGGGGCATGCTTGCTTGCGAGTAATGGAAGAAAGGTTGCTTTAAAACACACGGATTTCATTTATTAAACACAGTAAATATAAGACACATGTGAAGCAAGAAACAGTTGCACTGGATGGGTGACAGAGAGGGAGGGGATTAGTGAGGCATGCCCAGAATGTTTCACGGGATTGTATATGTCCAAGTTTCATATGCAGCCCTGCTGTCCAAAGTGCTGTGTGGCTGGGGCGGGGGTGGGGTGAGTGTAGTTTTTCAGAACTAAACTGCGTGCAGATGGGTGTGGAGTACATCAGGAGCTTGCAGGCCTCTGAATGGGTGGAGGCTAAGAACACAGATGTGGAATGCAGTGGGTGGCACCCAGGGACAGGATAGTGTCCATATTGCATTTGCAGTTCTGGGGACTGTGTGGAAAACAGTTTGGGGACACTTGCAGCAGGAGGAGGGCCAGTTGAGCAGCTGCTCTGTCTACAGTACTAGCAGTGCCTGCAGTATGTTTCCATAATGATTAGGAGCCACTGTGTGCTTGCTTTATGCTCCCTCTCCTGTTTCGGTCCACTGTTGAATGGCTCCTAAGCCCCTGAAGTATCCACAGGGTCTTCAGAGCACAGGAGGGGTAGCCTCCAAGTATATTATCCAGCTCTTTGTAGAACCTGCAGGTTGCGGGTACAATCAGAGCAGCAGTTTGCTTCCCAGGCCTTGTGGTAGGCATTTCTCAGCTCCTTCATTTTGCCCCTGCACTGCAGTGCATCCCAGATATGGCTTCTTTCGGTTTTCCTATGGGCAGCCTCTTGAGAGCTGCCCGTAGGTATCATAATTCCTACATCTGAAGCACACTTAGGACTAAACTGCCTCTCTCCCCAAATGCTGATAACATCCAGCACCTCAGCATGGCTCCAAGACGGGGATCTCCTGGTGTGTGGAGCAGGCATGGCCAAATGGGAAGATGCACTGAGAACACAACGCAGGTCACCCAAGCAAACAGGAAGGGAACTGCCAAATTTCAAAAAGAATGCAAAGGGAAAGTCTGAGGGTTGGTCAACTCAGAGCAAGGCAGTAGAGCTGAAACAGATGACTAGAGAGGCAAGAAAAGGCATTGTGGGAAGGGTGCTGGAGGCCTCTCACGATGCAGTATCACACCACCGTGTCCACACTGAGGCTACGTCTAGACTACATCCCTCTGTTGGCAGAGGGACATAAATGAAGCACTTCAAAAGTGCAAATGAAGCTGGGATTTAAATATCCCATGCTTCATTTGCATAATCACGTAATGGCGCCATTTCGAAATTGAACCCTTCAAAAACGGGGAGCTTTTTCGAAAGATCGTGTAAACCTCATTTTTCGAAAAAGCGCCCTGTTTTCGAAAGAACCACATCTAGACTGCTGTTTCAATTTCGAAATAGCGCTTTTTTGAAAGAGCGCCATTATGTGATTATGCAAATGAAGCATGGGATATTTAAATCCCAGCTTCATTTGCACTTTTGAAGTGCTTCATTTACATCCCTCTGCCGACAGAGGGATGTAGTCTAGATGTAGCCTGAGACTCCAGTGCTGTATCCAGAGTGCAGCAAGCTTTCCACTTCTTGCGGGGGTGGTTTACCTAGAGGGCAGCTACTGCAGAACTAGTGAGCACTAAGTGCCTTGCCAGAGTCCACCCTTCAGAAAGTTACAGCGCTGGGGGCTGATTGACTGAGCAGTAACTTGCCAGTGTAGACTTGGTCTAAGTGTCAAGCTTGGGAGAAAACCTCAAAAATGTGAGTGTAAATCTTGTGGAAATGAATCTGCAGACAGCCTGCAACAATTAGGGTTGCCAGGTATCCAGTTTTCACTTGGACAGTCTATTTGTGGCCCCTATCCAGTAAAAAAAAACAAAAAATACCGGACATGTAAAATGTCCTGTATTTTCTGTTTTTCTTGGACGGAAGGCTAGCGGGGACATTGTCTGTACCACATCTGACGGGGAGAACCGGAGAATTTTAAAGGCGCAGCGACCTTTTTTATTTTGCTCAACAAGTTTTTTTCCCGCCATGTTCGGGATTTTTTGTGAAAGTATCTGGCAACCCTAGCAACAATAGCTTTGAGGAGTATGAACTGCTCCCCTGCTCATCTCACTGAGGTGAGGTGGTATAGCTACCGTGGTGCAAGTGGTGAAGTCATACAAAGGCCCAGAATTTAATAGGGGATCAACTAGGTGGAGCAGGGCTTCAGAACTTCCAATGGTGTATTGGTCCCAACACTACTCATTCAAATTTGGGCCAGCTGCCTGTCTATCTGGCCAAATTTCAGTTATCTTGTGACAATGTGTGGAAAGATTGAAGCATAACTCAAATCAGGGGCGGATGAGAGTGCCGCGGGGTCCAGGGCAGCACCGCGGGGCCCCGGGCAGCGAAATTTTGCGGGGCCCCACCTTTGACACGGCGCATGCACGGGGCCTCGCGAAGCGTGGGGCCCGGGGCAGCGAAATTTTGCGCGGCCCCGCCTTTGACACGGCACATGCGCCGTGCCACCACGGCGCATGCGCGGGGCCTCGGGAAGCACGGGGCCCGGGGCAGCCGCCCCGCTCGCTCTGCCCTAAATCTGCCGCTGACTCAAATTTAGTCCAATCACCCCTCCATCATGGTAGCTGTCCCAGATTTGAGTGAGTGGTACTGCAGCTTGTCATGCAGGGTTGTGGTCCAAAACCACCATGGTACTGTGACCTCATGCACAAGGTTGCAATGCCACTTATCACTCAAATTTGGCTCGTTCAGTGGGAGTGTGGGCAGATGATGGGAACAAATGGAGTCACATGGTGGCTGGAATCAGGAGGAGCTGCCCTGGCCCAAGAAGAGAGTGGAAGACTGAGCAAGGGGACACCAGTGAATGGCCAGGAAGGTTCTGGAAGCAGCAGGTGAGAGGCTGGGGAGCAGTGGGCTATAGGGTGAGTAGAGAGTGTTAGGGAGCTGTTGGGTGAGGGGTAGGGGATGATTGGAGGATGTTAGGGAGTCATGGGTGAGTTGTGGGTAGAATAAGAGATTTGGGGGGCAGTGGGGTAGGTTAGAAACTGGGATGTTGTGTGAATGGTTGATATTGGGGCTTTGACTTGTGGCCCCTGGAGCAGCTGGACAGCAAACACAGGCTACCCCAGGAATGCTGCTGGCTCCCGCATTAGGAAGGCAGGATAAGGGACCCACTGGAGGTAGGTTGGGGTGGGTTCTGGAGTGGCTTATGGCAGTGTTTCTCAACCAGTGGTATGAATACCCTTAGGGGTACTTGAGAGAAATCTGGGGGGTACGTCAACACAACTGAAATGTGGAGAAAACTGAATTTTTATTTTGTTTTACAGCACTTTATTATTTTTGTACTTTTTACACACAAAAATTTCATCACCCGCCCAGCTATGATTAAGTTGTTTAAACAAATGTGTTGCAATGGTAGAAAAAAAATTGTATGTCTAAAAACTAGCTACTGGGGGTACTATTTTTTTTTTTTTTTTGAAAAAGGGATACTTTATAAGAAAAGGTTGAGAAACACTGGCTTAGGGTCTAGGTCATTTGCCCGGGGAGCACAAGGTGGTGGGTTCAAGTCTTCTCCCCCTTGGAGCAGCCAGACAGCCAACACAGGTTGGGAGTTTGAGCAGGATATATGTCAGGAATGCTGGGACATATGTGGGGACTGCCAGGATAAGTGGCAGCTAGTCAAGGGTTACCAGGGGTATATGTGGATGGGAGAGGAGCTTTCTGGGATATATCAGGGGCAGGAATATCCTATTGAGAGGCTCCTGATCAGAATTAATCTCTGTAAGATAAGCAAAAATTTAGATTTCAGAATCAGGTTAGCGAGTGGGCTGCATGAGTGGCCCTCTTTCTCAGTGGGCCACAAGACTGTCATAACCAAGATGGTCTCCCGGACTAGGATAGTTTTGCTAACTGTGCTTGCATACCTAGAATTTGTGGGGTGTACCAACTGAACTATAGCAGTGCTTTGATTGGATACAGAAGGGGTGTCTGGCTCTCAGAGTCAATGTTGTGTGCAATCAGCACACATCTCACATTACATGCC